GATTATGTTTATTAAAATATGCAAAATCAAAAAGTGCTTAACTTTATTAAAAACCTTTACTTCTGTATCTATAGCTTATTCGTTAGCTATTTAAATGCACCAAACATTTTTAGTATAAACTAGATACTCTAAGCATTCACGTATTATTAACCTAATTACCAATCTATGTTATTCCCAGATTTAACAAATCATTAACCCTTAAAATTTTTCCCAATATGTTTCAACAGTTAATAGCTACAGCATAGAATACAACAAATGTTAGTTTGTTCAAAATATTAACACTTTTATCATCAAGAAACAAGAAACACGATATTTGAGCTTGGTTTACAAAATGCGCAAGTTAAGGACCAGGGAGCATACTAACTTGTGTCAAAATCAACTAAGATTAGTTATGCTCAAGATTTGATTGAAGAAAATAGGTTTGACAGTTTTGTATGAGTTTTAATACTTTGTTTAACATAACAAATCATAAACTTTTAGCATTAGGTTATTATCTTGTTAAAAACTAAAACTGCCAAATAGTATTGGCTGCAGAAATATATGCACTTTTAGATAATAGTTCTAAACACAGCATTCTTGATTTGAATCGTTAGATCAATATTATCAAACATTATAAATGCTACTTGAACAGAATATCATTCACAGAATATTAACTTGGAGTTTTGGTTTATTCCAAAAAAACATAGTCACACAATGTATGTATACTTACTTTCCTTTACTGTAACCATCTAGAATTGGCATATTGGCATAAAAAGGTGTTCAATAAACGTTTCTTATACTTATCATAGACCTGTAGATATTAGTTGGCTTATTAAATAGAATATATAATGTCAGGACTTTAAGTATGATTAGTATTCAGTCAAGATTGCAATCAGTGCAACGAAACTACCCCGCGATCTTGGCAGGTTCCTGGGGGACCATCATACTACGTAATATGGACTGAAGAATCTTCCACCCTCATCATACTGGAAAAAGTCATACCAAGTAATAACTATCTTCCTTCAGACAAACTGAATATCAGATATAGAAAGTAGATATAGTAATATAGCCCATTCGGCCCCCCTCAAAGAAATAGAATTTAGAAATAATTGGCAGGATTCTTGGGAGGTTTTTAAGTTGTCATAGTTAATTAATACTTAGTCGGGAATTCGCAAAAGGGTTACGGAGCACTTTCGGTACCTACCTGGATTCTGTAAGGGAGTTTAGGCATTGAATATATAACACTGAGAGTGTTATATATTCAATGGTTTAGGTGCCTACCTAGATTCTGCGAGGGAGTTTCGGTGCCTACCAGGGTTCTGCGAGGGAGTTTCGGTGCCTACCAGGGTTCTGCGAGGGAGTTTCGGTGCCTACCAGGGTTCTGCGAGGGAGTTTCGGTGCCTACCAGGGTTCTGCGAGGGAGTTTCGGTGCCTACCAGGGTTCTGCGAGGGAGTTTTGGTGCCTACCAGGGTTTTGTGGGGGAGTTTCGATGCCTATCAGGGTTCTGTGAAGGAGTTTTGGTTTCTAACTGGATTCTGTGAGGGATTTTCGGTGCCTACCTGGATTTAGTGAGGATGTTTCGTTGCCTACCTGGATTCTGTGAGGGAGTTTTGTTGTCTACCTTGGTTTTTCGATAGGGTTTCGGTGCCTACCTGGATTTAGTGAGGATGTTTCGTTGCCTACCTGGATTCTGTGAGGGAGTTTCGGTGCCTACCTGGATTCTGTGAGGGAGTTTCGGTGCCTACCTGGGTTTTGCGAGAGGGTTTCGGTGCGTCCATTGCGATTGATGAAGCAAGCGACAGATATACAGCTATATTTAACTGACGCGTATTGAAAAATTATCACTAGCCCTTTTAAAAAGTTAAAAGGTAAACCTAAGCTAAAGAAAATGTATAATTTAAGTATTTAAAAATTCAAACCATTAATCTTGTTATTTACACGATAATCTGATGGATAAATCCAAACATAATATGAAACTTATAATTGAATCGATTATTGCAGAAGCCCCATAACCATTTTTTTTCGATTTAGATTTTTTAGTATAGTAATGATGCACACATTTAATACAATTACTTAAGTGCAGAAATAACACAACTGCGAAAAAAAGTTGGTTATGGGGTTTCTGCAAATGTAGGACACAACTTCATTTTAATGCATACATTTTTTAAAGAACATATAATTATACACATTTTTAATGTATGTTTTTTATCTATGTTTTTGTGCTTATGGTTCATCTATTTCAAACTAATTACAGAGACTACAAATTACGTCAATCGAAGGTTGTTTTTCATTCCCAACGAGACAGCCCAAGCTATTAGTTCCTCTGTCAACAATGGGTTACGTGCTTCAACTGTTTCTAGTTTGTTTTCTTGGAACAGTCAGCTGTCTTCCTCATCATGGTAAGTCGATATGTTTTCAACTCTTTGGAATAGTTTTTAATCGAATAATATGACCGTTTCTTGCATTTTTGTGTGTACAAATTATGTACATCATAGTTTAAATTGCGACAACAACGGTTCTATTATTTTGCGGCATGTTTAAGTCAATATGGTCTCAAATTATACATTTTCATACACCACAGATAGTTTTAAGGTGTTGATGGCAGTTCTAGCGTTTATATTGACACTATATATGTTGTTAAAAGCCTAGCCTATCATTTAATCTGTAAAATTTGATTAAAAGAGTCAAAAATGTCAAAAAGTTTGAATATACAGAAGAGTGTTTCGTAACTATCTACTAACCTTTTTTTAGGTTTTATTTATGGGTTCATAACAAATTTAAATTTAACATTTAAATGGTCCGTAAATCATTGGTTACTCGAAGAGTCACCATTTTGTACGTTTCAAAACTTGCGGTTTTTGAATAACCGTGATACTTGCGTGAATCTTAATAACACTAAATATTAGTTTTACTAACCTAAAAAAAACCTGAAGACTTTCAAATGCAAAAATTTAAAATTCTAAGTATTATAGTTCTTTGGAAAAAAACAATATAAAAAATACCAAATGGTGGTTTTGTAAATAAATATTTACAGACGATTTAAATGTGATATTTACATCCGTTATGTCACAAAAAATAATACCTTGCAAGTTTGGTAGAGAATTGCTAAACATCCTGTAGACTAAAAATATTATCAACGTAAATGAGAATGGTTTATGTTTTATTTTGCTTCATTTAACATTTAAATTACAATTTTGTTTAGTAACAATTATTTGCCTAATATGTGTAATACCAAGTTATAAGAGATATTAGATTTATTATGGTAAAATATACTGATTGATGCGATTAAATTAAAAACATAGTCCAATCAGATTATTTCTCAGAGGTGTTTTTTTCATTCTAAATATACATTAGGTTTTAATGCACATGTTCTCAATTTATTATAGTGTTCTCTTTGCTTTAAATAATATCTGCCAATTTTTGTTTTCAATACGAAAGATGTTAAAAGTGTTGTTTTTCTTGCATAATCATACAAGACAATTGTCGGGAGTCCAATGAACAGACAGGACTATGTTCTAATAATCAAAGCCTTTCAGGTGTTGAAAAGGGATGTAAGTTTAATCTGTATATTAAATGTCTTAGGCAAGAGAAAATTTTTTTTTATTTTAGAATCCCCTCCGTGAAAAGCCATAAGATATTTGTTTCAAATTACTCTTAACAAAGTATGTTATAAGGTTTAATTACCTTGAATTCAAGAAGCTTAGTCCTTCGCTTATTTTACAGTGCAAGGCAACTTTTCTCAACGAATTAACATTCAATGGCCGAGAAAATGTGTTTTTACAGTTTAAAGTATCAATTTTAACCTTTGTAGATGGAACTGAACAGCTGACATGCTTCCCGAGGGACGACCTCAGTGTGCTCTCCATCAAGGACCTGCCGCTGTTCCTGTGCACTTCTGCTGACAGGTCCTTCGTCCTTGCAGCGTCCTTGCCGAAGGATAAAATCCCCATCAGGATCACCGTGGATCAAGCGACACTCGCTAAGCTAGACAAGGCCTACGTCGATCGGCCTGAGACTGTTTGATGTTATAAACACTGAAACTTCAACTGCTTCATTCAATAGTTTCAAATAAGTTCAAAACTTCGTTGATATTCAGAGTTTATTTATGAGTCTTTTTATCGTTGAATTTACCATATCATCGACTATGTTTGAGCTGACAATTTAATGTGAAAGATAAATATCTAATTAAAATGTTCAATTTATATTGCTTTATTTACCATTTATTGACTTTCGAGAACCATACTAGCTCTCTTACTTTGACCATCAATGTTCGGAAAATATTGGACACATTTGAATTACCTACACAGTTGAATGATGGTGGTTCTGAAAGGAACACCATAAGCTATATTAATTGCCAAGTTAATGCTACTCTTCAACATAACTTAGATGGTTCGATTTTAGTCATAAGTATAAAGGAAAATAAAATGTTATCTTGACTTTAATGCTGCTTTTAAAAACATACAGTACTATGTTCGGAAAAAGTAAAAAAAAATACATTAAAAGATCATTTTATGAAACCTCATTTGATTAGATAAAAGTAATCACATATTTATGAGAGGTTTATTGGCTCTCTTGTGACTTACTAAAATATCAAATCGTTTAAATGCTCTGTGTGATCTCGATGATATAATTCTAATAATTAATATCTTTTAACTTGTTTACTTACGAGGGCTACTAAGTAATTAATAACTAATAAATAAAATAACATTAGTATCTTTGTTAATATATTTTATTTATAAATTCACTCGAAAACTTTAAGACAAGACTTGGTCTAAAACTTTGTGACAAGATGTTGGTACTAATGTTTAATATGTGTTTTGTATCCGATTGGAGGGTATGTGTTTCATACAGTAACAAGAGGTAAAAAGGGTAACATAGAAAAAAAACTATTCTTAACAGATTGTAAATAGATTTTAAAAGACATAATATTAAAATAAATGTTTTACTGAATTATTTAAATAAAACAGATATTTTAAAAATACTGAGGACCAAATAAATAAAATATACCTAAATATTAACCATGCCAGGTGAATTAATGTGTCGCTTATTACAATAACAATTCAATCTGATGTAAGACAACAAAGTTGTCATGGAAAAATACAAGAAGAACCCATAAAGATTAGTTGACTTGGGCTAAAAATATTGCATTTCTATTACATATGTCACCAACAATTTATACTCTTTTCTGTAAAGCTAACGATTTTAAAGACTTCATTTACTTCTTCTTTCTAAAATATATCGATACGGGCACTGGAAAGCTATAGATACTTAAAAAACATTCAAGTGACAAATCAACCATAATACCCTCCAGCTCCACCAAAACTGGAAGCACTAGCTTGTGAAAATCCACCTCCAAATCCACTACCCCAGCCAGGGTGGCCACCATATCCGGAAGATCCCGAATTGGCAGATGCAGAAGAACCGGCAAATCCCGCTCCCCCTCCCCCTCCGGCACCACCGGCCCCTACACCGCCACTAAAAGAGCCTGCTGATGCTGTGCTTCCAGCCCCTCCGAAACCAGCACCTCCAGGTCTGTATCCAGCACCTCCAGGTCTGTATCCCCCACCTCCTCCTGCTCCTCCACTTACTGATCCTGCATTTGCTGATGCTCCTGATCCTCCAAATCCTGCTCCACCTCCTCCAACTCCTCCACCCGCTCCACCACTGACAGATCCTGCATTAGCTGATGCTCCTGATCCTCCGAATCCTGCTCCACCTCCTACAACTCCTCCACCCGCTCCACCACTGACAGATCCTGCGTTAGCTGAAGCTCCTGATCCTCCAAATCCTGCGCCCCCTCCTCCAACTCCACCGCCTGCTCCTCCACTGACAGATCCTGCGTTGGCTGAAGCTCCTGATCCTCCAAATCCTGCGCCACCACCTCCAACTCCTCCACCTGCTCCTCCACTTGCTGATCCTGCATTTGCTGATGCTCCTGATCCTCCAAATCCTGCTCCCCCTCCTCCAACTCCTCCACCCGCTCCGCCACTGACAGATCCTGCGTTGGCTGAAGCTCCTGATCCTCCAAATCCTGCTCCCCCTCCTCCAACTCCTCCACCTGCTCCACCGCTGACAGATCCTGCATTTGCTGAAGCTCCTGATCCTCCAAATCCTGCTCCACCACCGCCTACTCCACCACCTGCTCCGCCACTAACAGATTCTGCGTTGGCTGATGCTCCTGATCCTCCGAATCCTCCACCATACCACCATGGAAATCCTCCCCCGCCTCCTCCAGCTCCAACAGAGCCTGACCCGGCACTGGCTGTTGATCCTGCAGCCCCTCCACCTGCGCCACCAGCTCCTCCACCTACTGCCCCGGCTCCGGCAGTCGCTGATGCAGTGGATCCTGAGCCTCCGGCCCCGCCATATCCAGGCCAACCACCGCCGAAGCCACCTCCGAAGTTAGCCGAAAGGCTGAAGGAGTTGCTTGCCCCGAATCCGAATCCTGGACCTAAAATCATTTTATTTTATTAAATTTTTGTCGGCATGAAATTGCTAAGAATAATCTGTACAAGTTATTCAGAACACCTTACATTACAGGACTATTGGAGTGTTATTGGTTTGTATAAAAAGCACTGTCTTTTTGAGATACTATGTTATAGACATAATGTTAATCTAGATATTCGGCCATAAAAATAGTATATGATCAGAATTTACAATGAAAAATATCTGAACATATAGGAAGGTTTCAACATTTTTTCTTGAACAAAACTCAAATATTTTTGGATCCAAGACACAATATGCCAACAAAAAATTAAGTAGTCCATACATTCCAGCAATTAGGCGTTCTAGTGCTAAATCGTGTTACATTAAACGTCCCTGGAATAAATATTATCAACATTTTCAATATCAAACTTTAGGTGTCTATAGGTAGTCCTGGAACTCTCTGGAACCTTTTTGTATATTTATTCCTGGTGTCAAAAAAATGCAAAAAAACACTATATAAATATCGGTCCAAAAACGCCTGGTTTTCTGTCTGCGTGCCTGTATGTTATTTTCCCAAATGAATCCATAGCTTTCAAACTCCTTTAACAATTGACTTGAAACTTGGTACGTAAGAAGATGGCAGGTCAGTATAATCATTGCACAATGAATCAGATTTATAAACTGTAATGGAAGAAAATTATTATTATTATTGTTGTTATTATTTTTTATTACGCCACAGTTTTTTGCACGAGTAATTTATATTAAAATAATCATTTATAAAATGTAGCTTCGTCTCTATAATACATGTAAGTAAGTATGTAACTGTTTTTTTACAGTAGATTTTTAGACCACATTAATCTCCCCTGTATTTTCAACACACTGTGAAGCAAATAATTCAAAATAGACAAAGGCAAAGCCTAGGGCCAAAGTATTTTACAGGTCTTCATTTATTTTTAAACAGTTTTCCCATTGCTAGTGCAGTCTCCATTTTACTTTTTTTTATCGCCTACATTTCTTGGTGGCCTAAACTCTTTCTCCACACCCAAGAGGAGTATGCCTATTGTAATTGCAATATGTCAGTCTTTAATAATAACTAAAATATCGAAAACAATAGAAAGAATTTACCAATAACTATTAATTAATTTATTAATTAAGGGTAGTCTAGACATGATCTGGGCTCTACGCATTAGGTAAAAAGTTGGTAAGAGATATATAACTCATACATAAAAATACTTTACTATAGTATTTTTTTTTTTTTTTTTAGATGAATGATATTTTGAAAACTAAGCTTTTCACTGTTAACGTGAAGAAGAGGAAAGGACACGTTTGTCATAACCCTGCAAAATGTTTTGCGACATTTTAAAATCAATAACAGATGATTTATTATCATGCACTTGCAAACGAACATCATTGAACATTTGCAGTCTATATAATTATGATATGTAGTAGAAGACTTTAAATCAATTGTATTTTCACATAGATAGCAATTTCAGCCCTTAATTCGCTCAGCATTTATGAACACTTTCCCTTATTTATGGTGAAATTCCCTCACTGTTCACGGTGCTACTTTAAGTCAATACTATTTAGGTAGAAATAATATAACATTTTGCAGGGGTTTATGAAAACCCTTAGGCTGTGTACTTGTTTACTTAAAAAAAAAAATACATTGTATTTCAAAAGAACTATGTTTTAGCTTGTAATCCTCCTTAGGTGCAAGCAAAATCTTATACAGTTAATTTCCATTACCATAAAAATACACTATGTACAATAGAAATGCTTACCATCATCCTCGAAGGACGCGGCAACGAGGGACAAAACTGGCCACAACCAATAGACGAACATGACGTGAGCAGGTGATTGTACTGGGCAGACACACTCGCAGGACTAGAATGCTGAGTTAATGACACTGATATCACATCAACCTGTGGTGAATCACACAGCTACACGGAACAGGAACAGGATCTGGGTAAAAATATCTGGACAAATTTTAGGGATGTACACGATGGTGAAACCAGCTTTTGCCCAGCGTCCACCAAGCGAGCTTGTTTACGCGGACTGTTCGTTAATCTTTTGGCCGCTCCAAGCAAAACAAGCGATTAGTGATGACTTAGTAAACTACTTCTACAAAAGGTTTCTTGAAAGGTTTTACACGTCCAATCTACTAATAATCATTTTCTTGTAATTAAGTCAGAGTTACTGTGATGTATTTCATATTTGCTTCCAAAATATAATGGAGTGTACGAACTAAATTATCAATTTAAGTTTTGGTTACAAATCACCAAGAGCTCTTACGCTCGGGATTATTAAATCTTAAAATTTACTGTTCATACAAGGTAGATCATAAATACGCAAATTTAGGAATACATTGAATGTGTAGCACGTATCCGCCATTTAGTATTTTGTGTTTACATTTCATATCTTAAAAACTATTTCATATTATATCTTCATCAAGTTTGGTATAAAATTCAATCTAGTCAATAACTATTCAATACAATCATAATTTGATTTTATTTATTTCAAAATTGTAGTATTTTAAATTGTTATTACTAAAAACTGTTACAAAAGTGGCTGTATTTATGAAAAAATGCCAAGAACACTTATGTTTAGCACTTTTTAAATTCCTTATCAAAAAACACGAACTATAAAAACATGGAATTGTAAATAACGAAGAAATACAGATTTTTAGTTGTACAGGCTAGGTAAAAAAAACCAATTAGCCAGGATTTGCCTCATTTTTGCCTATAAATTGTGATTTCCCAGCTATTTATTATTTGACATTTTTGAACTTGGTATTGTTTAATAGTAACTTTTATTTTATAGGGATTTTTTTCAATCAATCAATCAATTTATTTATTGAACAATAATGAATACATGCATATTATACAATAGATGCAAAAACCATACAAGGCTTGTCTGCACCAACATATTATGAAAAACATTTTTCGTTAATTAATATATAAAGTTGAGTTCAATCAGCAATCAACACAGTTCTATGAGTGTCCTAACGTGTTCCATTGAGAGTTACATGCATAATTAAATTACCAAAAACCACTGATATTTAAATCCAAATCTCATGAAAATAACCATAAATAAATAGTATTACTAAGAAAAAATGAGAAACAACACAATAGACTATAACAAATAAATAACAATATCTTATAAAATTTATAAATCTAACAAAACAAGTTTTCAAGGTACAAGCTTATCTTGCGTTCTAGGACAACAAGAAAAAAAGAAAAATAGAACAAGGGAATTTAGATACAAAATAACATGTAACAGGTACTTGATTTTTAGCGAATTTCCCTATAGGGAAGTAGTTATTACCGTAGGTGGCACGGTAAGACCTAGACCCGGGACCGATTTGATTTTTCATTTTGATGTCCCCAGAGGCCAAAAACACCATTCGTTCAAATTTTTATATATGTATATATATATAGACATATATATATATATATATATATATATACGTCCGTGAACGCGATAACTTGAGTAATTTTTGTCCGATTTTGATGAAATTTGGTTTAAAGGTGTAAAGCGGGATAAACTTGAATGAGTTCGCGAACCAGCATGATCGGACCATGGGAACGGGGCTTTACGGGGGGTTTTATGGGGTAAAAATTGGTTTTTCTCACTTTTGACCCTCAAAACACAAAATTTCCCAATTTCTCTTTAGACCTTTTTAAAGAGCTTAAAAAAACAATTAATTTAGTATATAAAAGTATTTTTGTTCGGTTAATAGTAACGGAGATAATTAAAAAAATTGTAAATTTAAAATTCCCATGTTATTCTTATGGGGAATATTGTAAAATGTTGTAGTTTGCTTGTTTATGGATAGGGTATATTTTGTATTTTGATCAAATTTATTTATTTTGTACTAAGCTATCAATATTTTACAAAAAAACACACTTTATTAGTTTCCTTGTAGCAGCAAACCTAGGTACTCGTTAAACCTAATGTTATTAAAATATATTTAATTGAAAATCAATTAAGACAAATGGAAATTCGCTTAGTCGGCAGGTTTGCTGCGGCGGGGGTATTTTAAATATCGGTATTTTTTTATTATTCAAGCTATAAAAATTTAAATGGCCACCATTTAGAAAAAAAATAGTTTATTGATTATTTTTTATAGATTATGACTGTGTACAAAATGACATAAATATATCTTAAATATTTGTTAGATATGATTTGAAAACACAAAAAAATGCTGAGCATTTTGCTAGCAAAAAAGGTTTTGGATAAAATGCTATTCTTGGTTTTTGTTTTATTTTGACCCGGAACACTTTAAATTTGTTTGCCTACTTAAGGATCACTCTGTATATTCTTTGGACCTTATGGCATGTTTTGCAAACAACACTAAACAGTTTCTAAATAATATTAAATAGTTTCAGTATTATTTTTATCTTAAGGGGTGTTACCATTGGATTTTAGCCTTCAACTTTCGATAACAAAAGGGAAATGATAAGTAGTAAACCAACGAATAGTTCGTTAAAACAACACATACCAATCTATCATCTATTTTATCACACTCTTGTGTGCCACACAACCACTAATCAACCAAATATTTGACTTGAGATCTTGAAATTACCATTACATTGTATTGCAATAAATGTATGAAGTTTGGAAAATAACTACATCATATACGGAATGAACACTTTATTTCTAAATGCATTCTAATGTTTATAGTAGAAAATAGGCTCATCCAACTATACAACAAATGTCTAATATTCATAAGATATATGCGTACAAGTTTATCTGTAGTTGTTATTTGGAGTAATTATACACCTCTAAAAAGATGATAGATTTTTTATCCGTAATATGCTCCACCCCTGGCAGGGACAGTTTGCCGGTAACCTCCTCGAGATCCACTGCATGGGCATGTACAGACAGGCTGTCCTCCCACTACGGTAAGAGTTCCAGTGTTAGCACCTCCGTACCCTGTGCCAGCCCCAGCCGACCCTGCAGAACCACCATAGACACCACTTACAGATCCTGAGCCTGCATATCCTGCACTACCTCCGTATCCACTACCTACAGAACCAGTATGTCCTGCACTTCCTCCATGTCCACTGGCTACTCCTCCACTACCAGATCCACTAGTCGCTGTAGAACCTAACCCACCATATCCAGCGCTTCCTCCATAACCACCGGATACTCCTCCACTTCCAGATCCACTAGTCGCAGTCGTCCCTAAACCACCATATCCAGAGCTTCCTCCATATCCACCGGATCCTCCTCCACTTCCAGAACCACTAGTCGCTGTAGAACCTAACCCACCATATCCAGCGCTTCCTCCATAACCACCGGATACTCCTCCACTTCCAGATCCACTAGTTGCTGTTGAACCTGAACCACCATATCCTGCATTTCCTCCATATCCACCCGCCACTCCTCCGCTTCCAGATCCACTAGTCGTTGTTGAACCTGAACCTCCATATCCAGCGCTTCCTCCATATCCGCCCGCCAATCCTCCGCTTCCAGATCCACTAGTCGTTGTTGAACCTGAACCACCATATCCAGCGCTTCCTCCATATCCACCCGCCACACCTCCACTTCCAGATCCACTAGTCACTGTTGAACCTGAACCACCATATCCTGCATTTCCTCCATATCCACCCGCCACTCCTCCGCTTCCAGATCCACTAGTCGTTGTTGAACCTGAACCTCCATATCCAGCGCTTCCTCCATATCCACCCGCCACTCCTCCGCTTCCAGATCCACTAGTCGCTGTTGAACCTGAACCACCATATCCAGCGCTTCCTCCATATCCACCCGCCACTCCTCCACTTCCAGATCCACTAGATGCTGTTGAACCTGAACCACCATACCCAGCACTTCCTCCATATCCACCCGCCACTCCTCCGCTTCCAGATCCACTAGTCGCTGTTGAACCTGAACCACCATATCCAGCGCTTCCTCCATATCCACCCGCTACTCCTCCACTACCAGATCCACTAGTTGCTGTTGAACCTGAACCACCATATCCAGCGCTTCCTCCATATCCACCCGCCACTCCTCCACTTCCAGATCCACTAGTCGCTGTTGAACCTGAACCACCATATCCAGCGCTTCCTCCATATCCACCGGCTACTCCTCCACTTCCAGATCCACTAGTTGCTGTTGAACCTGAACCCCCATATGAAGCGCTTCCTCCATATCCACCCGCCACTCCTCCGCTTCCAGATCCACTAGTCACTGTTGAACCTGAACCTCCATATCCAGCATTTCCTCCATATCCACCCGCCACTCCTCCGCTTCCAGATCCACTAGTCGTTGTTGAACCTGAACCTCCATATCCAGCGCTTCCTCCATATCCACCCGCCACTCCTCCGCTTCCAGATCCACTAGTCGCTGTTGAACCTGAACCACCATATCCAGCGCTTCCTCCATATCCACCGGCTACTCCTCCACTTCCAGATCCACTAGTTGCTGTTGAACCTGAACCCCCATATGAAGCGCTTCCTCCATATCCACCCGCTACTCCTCCACTACCAGGTCTACTAGTCGCTGTGGAACCTGAACCACCATATCCAGCACCACCTCCATATCCACCTGCTACTCCACCACTTCCAGAACCACTGCTGGCTGTTGATCCTGAACTACTATATCCTGCGCTACCTCCATATCCACCGGATACTCCTCCACTTCCAGAACCACTAGTCGCTGTGGCTCCTGAGCCACCATATCCTGTGCTACCTCCATATCCACCGGCTACTCCTCCACTTCCTCCATATCCACCGGCTACTGCACCACTTCCAGTAGATGCCGATCCTCCACTTCCAGGTCTTTTGTTTGCACCATTTGCAGAGCCAGCCGTGGCTGATGATCCTGCGCCGCTAGGTCTATATCCTCCACTACTGATGGATCCGGATGCTGAAATCCCTGCTCCTCCGATTCCAGCCCCAAGCCCTCCTCCAACGTAGAATCCTGGTCTTTTAGAACCACTGCCACTACCGATTCCTACGTTTGCCGTGAGACTTAGTTTCTTCTTGCTATCCAACTTGTACGGTGAATATACCTGCCCAGGGGCCGCATAGTACTGTCCACCTGCAACAGTGAATTTTAGAATAAACACATACATTTAGTGCAATGTAATTTTTTGTATATCTAAAGAAAATAAATTGAAACTAGAGGGCCCTCCACCACGTTGAAATGTGTTTTTGATTAAATAATACAGTATAAACTTAACTGATTCAAAACTATCAATATATCTAATAATATATTTATACTGTAGGAGTATTTTAAGACCAAGACTTATACAATAACTAAAACAATAAACGGTATCAACAATCTGACACATATTTTCTCCCATTAGCTTGTCAACAACCTTTAACATGGGGTGGTGGGAGTAAGCTACCAATGATATTTCATAGGGAAAATCCATAGGTTGTAATAACTTTCGAACCGTAAATTTGTACAGGGGTTGCACTCTTTTGATTTGTATTATAATGACAGTAACATGCTAATTTTAATCAAAACTGGCTTTTTGATTTGATTTTTCGTTACTTATAGCGAATTACCCATATAGGGAATAAGCTATTTAGGTTTTTAAAAGGGAAAAACACATAAGTTACAATAACCTTCTAGCCGTAATTTGTACAGCAATGGGATTCGTAACATTTTGTTCAGAATATAAAGGACTGTAACATACAAAAATGTTATCAAGCTAGTTAGGGGTTTGTTTTTCCAGACGATTTAATTTTTCTGTTATTTTTTTGGTTATTATCATTGACTATAATGTCAATCAACATAATGTAATTAACACTATATAATGTCAATGGTATTATGGAAAAATCACCATTAAAAATCAAATTTCAACAAAATTTTAAATTGCCTGGAGATACCATTGCTTAGTACCTACATACCGATTTTTATCAAAATCGGACTACAGGTGTTGTCTGTAGCTCTGTACACATCCACACACACAGATTGACATCACTTCTACAACCACATTTTGACCAAATTTTGAAAAAAAAACAATACTTTCCCCATATACTATTGTTTAGGGGAAGAGAGTAAAAATGGAGTTACGTATTATTGATTGCAGATAGGTCATAAAATAATTATAATTATTGTTTATTCGTGATTCAGAAGCGTGCTTCAGGTACTTCCGATCTTAAAAATCAACAGCTCAAAGGAAAGCTGGCATTTCACTGGAGGTTCTTAGACCAAAACATGTAGGATAATGTAATTAGAACTGATGAAATATATCTTTAATTGAACAAAAAATTCAGAAAAATCTAATTTATGTTTACTGGCTGAGGAAAACAGCAGATAAATCAATGATGATGCTTGATGGAAAATCATTACGTTCATACCCTTAATTTAAGCCCAAAATGATGAAAATCGTCGGATAGAAAGAGCCGGACTATTATATAAAGTTTATGAGTGCCTGTCTGGGTGTGTGTTACTCAATCACGTAAAAACGACTAAACCAAAAGGGCTTAAACTTTGTAAAAATATAACTACTATATCAAGAAACATGTTGACTATTCACGCTTCGATACTGGCCGAAGGCTTTTCCCTTTTGGCTTTGAACATTCTCAGGTGGGGCTTTTGAAAGTTAATATTGATTGGTCTCCATGGCTGCAATGAGAAAACTCCCCATGTTTACATTCGCTATGACATAGCAATGTAAACCAGCAGAATAATTAATTGTCAGATTGATATGATTTTCCAATGGCACTCCAGATGGCATAATCAGATACCAGTAGTTAATTGGTTTTAACCGTTAAAACAATAACGTCAAAAGAAATTTTGAAATTAACAAAAAACATATTTATTTCATATCATGGATATTTGATCGAAATAATAACAACTCTGTACTGTAATCTAAAAGTATGCAACTAAACAAAGATAAGATACACTTGCTTGCTTAAGTTTAAGTGCTACTCTCTAATTTGTCTCCCCTCCAGTCAATAACGGCAGAAAAAATATAATAAAACAAAATCATATTAGTTTTAAAATATTCTGTGACATCGATTTTCCGCTTTTCCACTACTACTTCTAGAATTTAGATTCTGTCTGCTTTTTCATTGGGATTTAGTATACGGGAACAGTTTTATGTAAATTAAAACCCCCAGATGTAATTAGTTTACTTGGAATGCCTCAGTACTTCGGGGATTAAGTTTTGGGGGAGAGGGCTGAGTAAAATAATCAGTATTTGATCGAAACTATTTTCCCCTATATCGAGTAATCTTCAGTGTAATCTTTGCTCAATAGTTACAACAGATTTTTCCCTTTTGTACTATATATTTTAATTTGCTAGTATACTGTGGATGGCTTGTTATAAAAACTTGTTACACGTCTTTTGTTTACTTTTTATTTGTTATTTTGCCGACATAGTTACTTGGCAATCCATAAGGCCAATGCAGTTTTTTTTTTCAAATGAGTTGTGTAACGAAATATGAATTTTCCCGAGGTAGTGGCTGTAACCAATTAGGTTTTTAGGGCTATAAGTCCCCAATTCAAAAGTGTAGTCAAAATCCTTCCGCTATATTCTGAGATTTACAGTATATTACATATAGACAGACAGACAGACATAGCTCGTATCAGAGTATAGGATAGAATATAAAAAGATATAGTATTCAGCAAAACCATGAGGCAAGCTTTCTTATTTTAGGATGGACACTGGTCCCCGCATAAGGATTATTAAAATAAAAAATATAATAAAATACTATCAGGTATTAAACAGTATTATTTTTTCAACTACGTGAATACAATGTACAAATTCATATTATGAATCATAATATATGTAAACATAAATGAATCATACATACATTAAACATGTTCAAGCAATTGCAGTGTGATAATAAGCATAACCAATACTCACTGTCTGCCAGTACAGCGGATGCGAGATACAGGGTGATCCCCAAGTAGGCAAGCATGGTGTGGAAGGCGATTGTTGAACTGTGGTGAGTCGTTTGATCAGGTTAATGTAGGTAAATTGTTAATGACAATGATAACATAAACAATCAAACTGACATCAAACACTGCGATACTCATCTAAACAACCGTTGTATTGGTTGAACGCGCAGGAAAACCTCGGGATTAACACGCTGAATCACTCGGGTTATATTTGGGTACAAATTGCTTCAGAAAATAATAGAGTAGTATTATTATTATTATTACCATTTGAGATGGAGACACCACCTAGGTGCGTATTTTAACACAAATATGAGTGAAAGATTAGTGTAGAATGGAGTGTGATGTCTTGTGTAGCTTTGTTACTGATTATGGCCATATGTTTCGTTTAACCATTTATTAAAAGTCCGATGATCAAAGACAGCTGCGTCCAGTTTTTAACCAACAAAAAGCTACACACTTTTCTCAGGATCGAACTGGCGACCTTTTGATAACCTATTTCTAATATGGCTCAGAATCCAGTTTATTTGGGATTTCAACAAATACTCGACCGACCTATTCTCGTAACTTTGGATCCTCAGGTCAAAAAAAATAGTCCCTTTATAAGAAACAAGTTACAAGAAATGCACCAAAACAACAAACATTTAATACATCGTGTGATAGTGAAAACTATTTTGAATTTCATAAAATAACCTGGAACTAATTTATAAAAGTGCACTCTAGATACACTGGACGTAACCAAGCTTTACAATTATTGTGATGATCCATAGAGTCTATTTTTTCAGATCTCAATTTACAGCAAATTCGATTCAATAGTGTACATTAATGGGGCTGAGGCATCTTTATTTTAACATCCCGTCGAAATTCAAACTTCGGACGAATACATTGATACAGTTTACCATCGATATGTTTTGCCTAGATTCTAGAAAATTCCCTATAAACAAGACATAAAGTAATATAGATGACCGGCAGTTGTGAGTTCGTTCACCGACTGTATGCATGACTGCGTGGTCGCCATTAGGATTCCCCTGGCGTTGGCTGCATTCTCTCTTCAGCAGTCTCTCTGTCACTCTGTCACTTGTCACTCGATGACGTGATGGTCGCCTCACTCATCCTTTCACTCACTTAAGTCAAGAGAAAACTATACAAGAGTAAACATTTGATTACTAATTTTAAGGACTAACTGTGGTCAGATTATTAAACGTGTCTATAATATCAGCTAGAGAGCACATAATAGGTGTATTTATATGTTAATGATTTTTGCGTTGACTACATATTCGAGAACATTATTGTATAGTCATTTAAGTGGTTGATTTGTGTTGGTTCAAAAATAGACTCTTTAGGACAGACAGTACATTTTGGCCATAGACGCATGTACAAACCTTACTTTCAGAATTGAATTTTCATTGATAGGTTTGTGATGATAAGATAAGCTGTAGGTTATCGTCTAGATATGTTAAAAGTAAATGTACTGTATGGGAACGCTGTCCATATACCTAATACGGCTATAAAATTATAAAGAAAATTAAGAAAAGAAATGGTTGGTTAATTTCAGACTTCAATACCATATCCAGACTGTTGGAATTAAGTTTTACTAAAAGAAACTGTGACATCTAAAAGAAATAGATTGACAGATGATAAATATTATGAACGTGTACACGGTCACATTTACACATGTAAGTGTGTTGTTCAAATTATGTTGTTATTTAATTAGCAAGAACGAAGCACAGTTATAAAAATAGAACCAATTACTGCTGGAAAGAAATGAACTAATATTCATCGACTGGTAGTTAACTATGAACTGATCGTTTATCCGTATTCACTTTGATTCGTATGCATTGGTCGGCAGTCAATTTGTTGTATTTTCTCTCTACAAAGTTTTCTTCTCCCCATTGATATCCGTCTCCCATTACTCCAGGACCTGAAGACTAGACACATCCTGTTGCCCAAGTGTCTGAACACTCAAGGCCGGATGATGCCTGATTGTTTATTTGCCGCTGGAAGATGCAGACCGCGAGGTCGGGTTTGTTCCGTTATGCTGTAAATATAACTGCATGACTTCCCTTCCGGGTGTTACTTGAAGATGCAGAATAAAATAAACGAGGATAGGAAGATTTTTGTTAGTTTGTAATTCATCCAGATTTCCATCATGATTTTCCTATTTCTTTTCTTGGTTTATTGAACAATTGTATACATGGGTAGCAACAAAACAAAAGTTGATAGTTTATTCATAATCTCCAGGATTAAAAAACATAAATAAGGTTCTGACCTGTCGACAATCATTTCTGATGTTTATAATAGATAAACTAGTTTCAGGGTTTTAACCCAATTTTCACACCCTTATTTGAATTTCTTCTTGTCAAAAATGAATTACTTAGCACTTGCCGTTGTCAAATTTAAAAATACTTGACACATAACGTAGAGACGTTTTTGCAATATTTACAATACGTGAGTAACCATTGATAGTAAAAACTAAACAGCTGTAACACATTGTAAGTGTGTTAACGAAAGAAATAAACCATAGTTCACATTTCCGACGTCAATCAATCAATGACACAACAACAAATAATTTCGTATAGCAGAGAAGGATCTGGAAGTTCCAGTTTCGAAAATGTTCAAGGAATCATCTGGTGATGAGTCTATACATAACAGTATTTTAGGGTGGTCTGGTTTAAAGTCTATGGTCACTATTGCCTGGAAACATGTGATGTGAAAAAATGTGTTGTTTTAGCGGTTAACTGTAAGAAAGGACCATGAGGTCCTAAGCTCGCCTCAATAAAGATGCATTTTCATTTCATTTTTTTTCTTTTTTTCACGTACGGAACTATGTCACTGGAGAGATACGTATACAGTAAAAATAAGTCTACTACATCAAATTCAGTCAATATAGTAAAGTGTTGTCATTGAATAATTTCAATATGTAATCACACGTAATAAACGTGTAAATAAGAACTCTATTACTTGGGCTCGCTCTTCCTCGCTCACGAAATACACATTTACGCTTAAAACAATGTTTATGTATAATTGTTTTAATTTTCTAGAGCAAACCTTTATACTTTACCCAATATGGGCTTTTCATTTTCAAACGACTACTTAATAATTAGCTTGAACATTAGTTATTCCATTACTGGGTAGCTTAATGGTTACAGTGCTTACCTGAACAATCAAAAGGTAAAACTGGAGCAATCTTTGCTCTCTTTGATTATTAGGCTTTTAATAAATTTCGCTACTAAATAAATAGCTTCTTGTATGTTTACGCGTAAGATTAACCTTGACTAAGAGAGAAAGAGAGAGAGGGAGAGAGAGGAGTGTGAGAGAGATGACGAGAGGCAAGGCCGCTCCGCAGTCTTCACTACCGTTCGTTGAACTCTCCTGCAAGAGATGAAGAAAGAGCTTTCTTCTGATGCGACCGCGGACATTGTCCACATTGGAATCCTCTCCAGTCCAACCAGCAACCAGCTTCCCTCATTCATAATCCACCGTGTTGGTAATGACAGTACGTCGACTTATAGGATATCACTGCCTTGCATTCAAATTTAGCTGAGGAGTTGAACCGGAAATGCATTTTAGGAAGTTGGATTGGAGGATTTCAGGATGAGTTTCATAGCACTGTGAGCAGCCAGACTTAAGGCATATCTTGAATAAGGGAGGTAAACTAGCTAAACGTAGAAATGCAAAGGAATAATTTGGTTAGTGAATAACAACACCTATGATTTTTACCTTAAACAGTCAAAGTGTCTATCTTACCTTAAACAATGCGTTATAACAAATATAAATATATCCATTAAAAGTTGTACAAGCTACTAATTTCCAGTGTATGAACACGGTTTTGCATGATTAATATTTGTCTCCATAAAAAAATTGCTACTGTATTTATTTGTCTTTGAATAGCACTAGTTGACGTCGTATCCTATTGTAAACCCCGAGTTATGGAGTTTATGTTGGCTACGCTGTGTTGAGGTCGAGTAAATTGCTCCCTTATATTTTTGTGGGTGGATTTTATATTCTGCACTTTACTTCTTGTTTAAAGTATCGGGGAACAATATAGCTTACAATATTGTTAGTGAGTTAATCTAGCTTTCAAGTTGACCAGGTTATAAAGAAAAACAACCACCAGACTAAACATCGGTAGGATCTCTAGATAAATCTGACCAAATTATACCTTAAATAATTTTTATATAAGGCAGTATTTTTAAACATTCTTGCCACCAAAACTGATTGTACGAAATAATATAAATAAGTTTACATACCTCAGTCTTAAAATTAGTCTGGGGTTGACTAGTTTTGGGTCAAAGACCCGTTATCAAATCCGCATCAAATTGAATTAGTCAATTTGATAATTGCGGGATGCACGAAACTAGTCATCCCCAGACTATTTTTAAGACTGAAGACTGACTGAGGTATGTAACCTATTTATATTATTTTGTATTTTTAATCTTGTACATTTTGTTGGAGGCAATCTATTGAGATTGCTAGTTTTTTTTTATATATTTTCAATGATTCCATATTAAAACAGTTTGACTTTTTTGCATTACATTACAAAAAGTTAACCCCTTTTCTTTTTACCTACATGCCCCTTTCTCCGGGGTCCAGCGTGCCCCGTGCCCCTGGGAGGGGGGCAGGTATATAGCCTCTCAGTGCCCCTCACAGTCACTTCACCATGGGTCCTCGGCTACTGCTGCTCTACCCGCCTCTTCTCTTCCTATTCATCTTCTATCTCTCTCCTACTTCTGGTGAGTAACAATGTATTATCAGTCATTAGTAGTTAGTCTTAGAGATTGTTTACGAAATAGTTACACCATGCTTCGTTATTTTTATTATAGATTTTTAATTTGAACTGATGAATACATTAAACATTTTTAGTAGAAATTTAGTTAAGAGATCAGGGAGGATTTTAAGTGCTCAGTTAATGAATGTTAAAATCTCTAATAATTAAAAAAAATATTAAATTGAGAATTGTTTAAGTTTGGTATTGGTGGCACACTTTGGCTGAAACATGTTTTACCGAATTTCCCTGTAGAGG